TCTTCTTTTTTTTTTTTTCAACTTTAACATACTAATATCCTAAAAAATGTCCGTTTTATTCGGTCTTCAATACCTGGGAACAATCATCCAACCTTGTTTTCATCTTTGCTTAGTTTTTTTCCTTTTTTTTTCAATATCAGAAACTGTGATTCTCTTGAGCAGTGGGCTCTGATCATATTACTACATTAATCTTAAAGAGAGCATACATATGTCAATGGAATCACGACAGGTACCTATAAATTATTGCTCAGAACCTTCACATTTGGGTTGCGAACAGGCAAGAGCCATATGCCCGCTGAGCACCTCGAAGATATGCTCCAGACCACATCTTGGCCCCTCTTCGCCTGCGTCCGCTTTGTTCTTCTCCCTGCCTTCGCCAGTCCGTTCTCCGCAAGCCATTGCATGGCAGTCGATCTCTGCTTCTCCCCGTCGCCTACACTCCTCTTTCTGTTGGAGCTCAATTTGAGACCTCCTACATGAAGACTCATCAACTTAAACCTCCTATCGTTGTTTCCTTGTCCATCATCCGATGCCACCGCTTTCACCACAACCATCATGGGAGCTCCGACTGCTTCATAACTCCTTGATGGATCTCTCAGCTGAACCACCACTAACATCATGACATTATCCTTTGCACTACAGGCTCTGGACCAATCCTCAGGTGAAATGGCCGATTCCAGTGGGTTGCTGGAGTCATTAGATTCCATAAGAGGGGCAGCATCGAAGTGAGCTTCTTCTTCTTCTGTCATCTCTACCTGGATTTTGAGTGCGTCAACTGCCATGGCCTCGATCTTCTGCAATGACAAGCTCAAGATCTCGTCCACGGTGACTGGTTTCTCGTTCGCATTCCAGATTCCTGTCGAGATTCTCTCCTTCCTTCCCTCGTTCATTGCTGCTGCCATCTTCTTAACTGTTGTGATTGTCCTGGCCGCACTGGAGCTTGCTCCTTCCTTGTTCCTGCCGCTTATTATGGCGGACGCAACTCCCTCAATCGCGATCTGCCCTGCTGTTTTGCCAAACAGTTCGTCCATGGCTGTCAGGGAGAGTATTTTGGAACCCATCTTTTCTGATCCCATCGCAGCCAGCTTTCGGAACACTTCAAACTCACTTTCCAGGTTCTTCTCCTCGAGGATTAACTCTCTAGAAATTTGCATGGCAAGTTTCGGCGTCTCTTTTCTTGGCGCCGGCACATTGCAGGGATTCATGGAAGCTAAGTAGCCTCCGTTCCTTGTCTGAACTACAGGGCCTAAGCTTTTTCCAAGATCTGAAAGGAGAACGCTTTCCCCATCATTCCTGGCATCCTCTTTTGATCCCAAATTTGAGCAAGTAATGAGGTCCACGACATCACATTTCGACCCTTCACTGTCTTCAAACTCGAGCAATCGAAGGAACTCCTTTATCACCGCTTCCTCCTCGGGATCCAATCTCTGGAGTTTGTGTTCTTGAGTTGTCTTTGCCAGACCGACAACATCCTCCGTCACCACGGAGTCAAGAGCTTCGAACTCTCTAGTAACTGGACGAAGCTCTTTTAGCCTCCTCTGTTGAGCACGGCGGTGCACCACCTGTTTTACGACCTCGCTCGAAACTGATGCCTCTTTTGTGGTAGCCTCTGATGTCATTTCCTCCTCGTTCTGTCTTTCTTCTTGAATCTCTATTCCCTTATCGATAACTTCGTAGTTTGGAAGGTCATCACCTACTTCCAGACGGTCTGACTTAGTCTTTTGCAGTACCGGAGTGACTGGAGGATTGAGATCATGACCCTGAAGGGCGAGCTCGTCAGTTGCCGCCGATCTTCTCATGGAAGTATTGTCGTCTGAAGGTATGAGAGATGGGTCTTCTATCATTGTTCTTGGGTTTGCATCACTGAAAGAAGATCTTGGTTGTTTCCATGAGACAACAAAATCGGGATCCTTCTCCCTGTTTGTTCTTATTGTCTCTGCCTGGTTATAAATCCCAAAACCTCCATCGTCCATGATTTGGAATGCCAACTTGAGAACCATTTCTCCCCCTTTAGCCTTCCCTGAGAGCGGGAAGTCCTTCCCCCATTGCCGGATACGTTGTCCCTCCAAGTTCTTCTGAATGGACTCTTTGACCATTAAGCTCAAGTCAACAATGCTCGTTCCGAGATCAAGCTGAGGAGCATCAACTGCCACTGTTGAGATTAGGAACAGGCGGGACTCCAACTTGAGGGGCTTCCCTGTGCCCGCACCACCGCTGCAGTAGAGGTGGGATGGGATGAACAAAGTCTCCTGGAAGTCAGCAGTCCCTTGGAGCGCCCGGGAGGGCATCGTCTTCACAGCGCCGTCCCTGGTCTCCTTCTTGCGGACGACAACCGAGAGACGCAGCCCGTCCACCGAGACAGGCAGGTGGTGGATCGCAATGACCTCGACGGAGAACAGACATAACAACCTATGCATGGTGATGCGGGCCAAGGCACGAATCGGCTTCCAGCTCCATATCCCCCGCTTCTCTTCGGGCCCAGGTTCGCCGACGGGCGTGTGATGGCGGCCGCCGTCAGTATCATCTCCTACATGGCCCTGCTGGGATTTTCCACAAAAGGGATGGCCGGAGGAGCGGTTGTGGCGGTCTGACCGAGCAGCTTCTCCGACGAGTCGAGGCTCATCGTCAACGGGCGGGGTTGCACCGGAGAAGCAGGGGAGAACGAGGGAGGCGGTGCGACGAGAACTGTGGGCTCTGCAAACGGATCTGCTTCGGCTCTCAAGTTCTGGGACAATCTGCATGTTAGCTTCTGCCTTTGGGGGAGGTGGGGAACCGGTCATGGCTGCAATGGCGCCTTGCTCGCCGACAAGTTTAAGGGTTTCGAGTGGAAGCGTTTACTTGCCTAGAGGCTGCCAACAATGGTGAGGGTGTAGCGCTCGGTGATGGTTGAAATGAAGAGAAGAGGCAAGAGGCATGTCGAACAATGGTGAATTCTGTAAGGAGATGCATGCACGATATCTGAAAGATATGTTCCATATCACCCCACACTATGTTCACAATATATAAAACGTTATTTATACTATGCACAATATATAAGATAATTTTACACTAATAAAAAAAATCTCAGCCAAGTAATAAATGGTAAGAATAATATCCTTTTAATAAATCAAGTGAATCTATATACCTAAAACATCCATATGTGATACATCCACTTATTATACATTGAGAGTTTAAATTCTCTTTCATCTGTCGTCATCACTTAAAAAAGAAGAAGCTTGATTTGTATATCTAATCATAAATAAAATATTATTTACATCATGCATATATACCTATTTATAGTTATCAAAGAATAAATGAGAATTCACCATATATGTTGAAGTAGAAAAATCTATAAAAATAAAAGAAATATCAATCTTGATGAACTACGATGAGGTTGCACCAAATGACGAAGGAGTTGATCGTCGATATCTAATGGAGAACGTCACCAAAGTCAATAATTATGAACAAGGTTGAGACGGATGAAGTTCAAGATTAAAATAGGGGAATACGATAATATTACAAGTTGTCTATATATAATGAAGATATATTTGTGTATTTCCAACATGTTCTACGTTACCATGGAAAATTGTAATTGAAGTTTATGGATTGAATCTATTACTATAGAGTCGACCGGTCATGATCACAACAAAAGTGTTTCGAAGAGTATAACACCGAACGCCTTCTTTTCTTTGGATGATGTAAAGAGGCCCCCTTTAAAAAGTGAAAGCTGAGCACTGCATGCAGGAAAAGCAGCAAAATTTTGGGGCGTAATGTTCTTTTGGATGCTGGTGGGCACACAACCATGTTGGGTGGCCTGAGCGAAGAGTGCAGATGCTGACATCAAGCTGCTTTACTGATCATTTCAACCCCTCGCTGCTGCACATAACGAGGTGAGAGCATCAACAAGAATCATTCAAAGATGGCACGGGCTCGGTGGTGTCTTCCTTCACAGAGTTCTCCAGCAGTGGAAGATCTTGATCGATGGTTTTTACTTGCTGTCTAATCCCCGTCAAACGATGGACTCGACAGATACTGAACCCATTTGTTCATTTTGGTCGATCTTTTTTCGGAGGTTTTGGTTGGCCGCAAGTGAAACTGTTCACAAATCTATTTACTGTGTCACTTAATTCATGCACATATGCAAACAAAATCTTATATATTGCAAGTGGTCGTATGATTTATTTTTTTCAAAAATAAATTTATTTATTGAGCTGATCCATGGATACAGAAGTCACCCCTTATAACAAAGATGATAAGAAGAAAAAGATGGGTGGATCACTCCCCTCTAAAAGAAAAAAATTAAGTACATTCTAACATGATTTCTTGGCCAATTAAATGTTTGATTGTTTCATGGTAAACATGAAACAATTGAGATGCATATGTAGGGTTATTTTAATAAAAAATATATGAATAATAAACAATTGAAACGATTCATTGATCCAAATTGATTTAAAAAATATTAAAAAAATGATTAGAATGAGTGAATAAAATCTCGATTTATATATAAAAAAAGGAGGCATTAATGGGTAGTTAAGAGAATTAATTGAGGCTATTCAAAGTAAATTATCTATCAAAAATAGATACAATTGTTACCTAGTACGATGAGATATATATTTTTTTAAAATTTACTAGAAAATATACATTAATATTTAAATATTTATAATTTAATTAACAATATTATATTTTATAAAGCTACATTGTGACAAAAAATCTATATAACGAATCCCAAATTCGATATTGGGAATTATTATTGTTATTATTGAAGGATAGGCTGAACCTTCATTATTTAGAAAAATATAACAAAAATAAAATAAAATCACATATACAAAGTATGTTCTATCCAAATACTGGATGGTGCACTTAAATGTGCAATACATAAATAAAAATATGCACTCTCACATAGGTTCTTTAATATTAAAAATTAATAGTATAATTAAAATAAAGAAACCGTTTAAAGTTTTATCTGCATTATTAATTTAATCGACGCAAGCTCGATTGACATTCAAATCGGAGCGGTCGGATCATGTGAATAGTATCGAGTCGTGGATCGATTGCTGTTGTGGGATTCGAGTAACTAGGGCGCCGAAACGAAGCCGTGCAAAGGGGCGATCATGGCGGCGGCGTCGTTGACGAGAGGGGAGCCCCTGCTGTCGCGGCTGGCGGCGTGGTCGACCTTCGTCGTGTTCCCGTCCGCCGTCGTCGCCTACTGCCTCACCGTGACCCAAGCGAAGCCTCCCAAGAAGCAAGATCTATCTCCTCCCTCTTCCTCCTAATAATTCCTTCTCAGATGAGGTGATTTGCTTCTCTCTTTTCGTTATCGTTGCTCTCCTTTTCTTGATGATCTCCAAACAAATTCTGTACAAGGAGCGTTGTCAATCTCGATACTTATCTTCTTAATCTATCGTCTATCTTGTTACGCACATTATCTCTTGTTTTCAGTTTTAGCCCTAGGTTTTGGTGACATTGCTTGCCGTAGGCTCTTCTAGTACTTGAACCAACTTATGGGGAAACCATGATTCGGAGAAGTTTCGTAATGTGTATAAACACGACAACACGAAGGAAGGTGAGGGATGGGAGATACTCTTCTATCTCAAGCACATATCGATACGGGAAAATGCAATCTAAAGAAAAAAGTTTGCGAGTTAGTGGAATCATGACACATCTCATAGGAACCTTATAAAGCAATGGTTGAGTAGTATCCTGTTACCTTGAACTGAAAGCTACGAGGCTGTTAGATCTTTTGCTTTAATAGGTTCAGTAGTTCTGATGAAAAACAAGATTACTTCATAATAAAAATTAGTTCTCCAGCTCCAGCCTCTTGTAACTGGATGCTATATTGGAAAGTAGTTATTTTAAAGGTCAAGTGAAAGGCAACATGAGTTGGGAATATAAAAAATTATGAAATTCATTGATGATGGAAGGATATACTCCCAGCCCCAGGTTCGCTTTTGAACCTTGAGTTGTGCATCCTTGATGTGAACCTTCGATAAATGTTGCTTTTCATGATAAAAAAGTGGGACTACATACAACCATAAAGTGGGTATTTAGGCTCAATGATTTTTTGAACACTCCAAAGACCAAGCTCTCCTTCTGCATTCTCTTATCTGGGGCTGATGTTTATAGGTATTATGATGTGAAAAACAAGGGTATTATGATGAACAGGGGATCATGAGTCGGGGCAATCTCTGCTAAATAACTTTAGTAAGTTGTAACTTGAAAAGCCAACTCATTTGTTTGTCTGCTGCCAAATCTTCTTTAAAATTTGGAAATTTTGGTTTTTTTCTTTGTATCCCCTTCTTTCTAAGTCTCTTTCCTAATACGGTTCATCTTAACAACAAGCTCAGGTTGCAGACTGAGAAATTCTTTGTTGTGTGGCTGTTACCATATCATGTACTTGTGGGGGACATGTATGCTATTCAAATTTGACAAGAAGACCTTGGTGTGGAGATGAATAAAGGGAGATGCTGAACCAATTAAAAATAGCTTGCTCACATGTTTTTGTTTAAGAAAGGTGACAGACTCAGAAGTTAAACTTTTTTGTGTAACTCTTGACTTCTCATTTGGGAAAATGTTATGTTGATTTATCTAGTTCATAAATTCCAGTGCTGATCAGTTAATGCTCATGGAGGCTTTGGATTATGCTGACGTTGTTATGCTTCTTAAACTATTTAAACTACCCAAACTGTCAAACTTCTTTCAAAAAAGCTTTGTTGAATATATCCTGTTATCTGCTGTTAGTGATTTAGGTTTGAAGTCTTTGTGCTCATTCAGTGCATCTCCTTTTGCGTTCTCAAAACCTTATGCCATTTGATTCTTCTTGGATCAATTGGTGAGATATTGCATTTCATGGTGAAAATTTTGACTTGTTTAAAAAACTGTCTGTTGGAGTGTAACTTTTGGTGCATGTTTGTTCTAGTTGTTCTAAGAAGGGTAAATTAGACTGTAAATTGCGGTATTCAGGTTGCTGTGTTTTTCAGCCTGGTGCGTAAATCTGACTTTGTCGGGTATAACAGATGAATTTTTACACGGTCAGTGTTATGTTGACACCAATAATAAGCTAATACTATATGCTTGTAACCTTTGGTTGATCTTACATTCATTTAAGAAGTGCTTGGAATCATGATTATGACCTAATGACTTTATGGTGTCAGTAGTGTTAGCTTATTAGTTGGATGCTTGGTTAGTCCAATTAATTTAATTGGCTTGCTGGAAGTTGAGTACCCTTCTGTTGACAAATGCCTGGATCGAGTGAAACACTGTTTTGTTGCAAAGAAAATTTAGGGATTTCTTGTGGCAATGCTACATCCCCCAAAGTCCTTATTAAGAAATTTTTGAACATGTGTTGTTCAAATATCCCTCACATTGATGGTCTAGTTAGCTCTTGTTATATTCTTTTACATAGGTGTCGGGTGGTTGTTTTGGTGTTCGTGCAGTTGATGCTCTTCGGTGGATCCCTAATGATCTATTTGATGATCCAAATGCCAAACTATCTCTACTTCTTCGTCCTGGTTAAGTAGTATTGTTATGTAAGATCTGGCAATCTTTTATTAAACAATGAGTGTTTACTACTACTGCTGCTAACACTGCAAGGCCCCATCTTTCTTTCTTGGTGTGCATTGTCTAACTTGTAGCTAAATCATTTTGTTTTGTATCAGATCAGTTAATTCTTTACAATATCGCCTGAGCTTTGTATTAATTGGGCCTGTGCATCAACGAACTTACTGATTTAATTATCTTCCTCGTATCATAAGTTTGATAATTTCACCTCCTCGTATCATATCATTTAAACAAGAATTTTCACTCTTGTTCCTGGCTTGATTTGTTAACAGGTGTTCAATGTGGCATGTTCGGCAAGAAAAGCAGCTTCCTTTGGACTTTTGCGGGAAGCACTTCATCGGAGTCCACAACTTAGTATCAGCGTTGAGAATTCGTCTTTTGTTTCGTGATGCCCACTCGGGCCAAATGTTCAGTAGAGACTTAGAAGGGACCTCTTAATGTTATAATTGAAGTACTGTTTTGAGGGTAGGGAACGAGCAATTGGTACGTGGTCTAATAAACTCTGAAGAGAAGTTTAGCCAAAAGAAATATTTGACCAGCATCATATTTTGATTGAATAGACAGCAAATAACAGGATGCAGGTGTCTAACTTTTACCCAAGGTCGTTAAAGCGCACACAAGCCAAATTGAGAAGTCGTGACATAATATAACCAAGCATAAACACTCTTTTAAGTTCGAAGACGCACATGTTATTTTTGTCCCTCGAGATCTATGTTTGTAAACTGTGAGACAAATATTTTAGAAAAACAAGTTATTTAATGACATGTTGCTTGTAAGAATGACAATAGCTTGTAGCCCACTTACAGGCATCTATTTTGACTGATCCAGGTGGCGTCGGCAGGTCCTTTTAGCCTCAACTCTACAAATTGAATTACTATTATTGGTATTTCGCCTTCTAAAACTGCATGATGAAATTGATAAAAAATTGTTGACAACATAAAATAATTATTTAAAATCTGTAAATTCATGCGAACAAAAATGGTTATTCGAAAGGGTAGATCGTCGAGAACAGCACACCAAAACACATTTCTAGGTTGTTTCTTCGACGCCATCATATTAACCCTAGACATCACTACATTGTTTTCGTCGACCTCTTTTCATTAACCACGCGCTCTCTCTCTCTCTGTCTCTCATTTCCAGGGCCTTCGCGTTGAAGGAAATCAACTGCGAGCTCAAACCTCGCTTCTTCCCCCTTCTCTCTCCCCGTAAGATGTCATTCCCCAGTCGTCTCTCTTTATTTCTCGAACTAAATCGACCCGTCCTCTTCTCTTTTTTCGATCTATCTCTTGCTGTTATATGGTCATTTTTCTTGTTTTTTGGCATATAATTCCTTGTCTGTCCTACCTCTATCGCTTACTAGGGTTTCCCGATCTGGAGCTGAGAAGTGAACATTTATTTTCGCTTTGTTTTTCTTACTTCTCCTCGCGATTTTGGTTCTGAGTGGCTATTTTGTGTTTTAGGTCCGTGGAGGGAAATGCTGACGCCGGAGGAGAACTGGGAGCGGCTGGTCCGGGCGGCCCTTCGCGGTGAACGGCTGGGCGTTGGTGCTTTTGGGCAGCCCGTCAGCGGTGTTGCAGGGAATGTTCCGTCTTGCCTGGCTAACAACACGCACATCGATGATATACTGAGAGCGGCAGATGAGATCGAAGACGAGGACCGCAACATCTCAAGAATCCGTAAGATACATTATCTTATTCTTTGTTGTTGGAGAGAGATTCCTTGAATAATCTTGTAGCCTACTAAATGTTCTGTTCTACTTCTGCTAGCTATTTAGTTGCAAACGACCATGAGTTATCACGAGATTTATCTTCCATTTATTTCTAATTGTAACATGTGCTCTTCTTATTCAGTGATCAATTGCATTGGTATTTTGAAACTCTCATGTCATTTTTTAGTCGAAGCTAGTAAGACGGATGCTGTCTCTTCCACCAGGATATTAGTCTGAACCATCAAACTTAATTAAAAATTTCTTATGCGAAGTAACTGAACACCATTATATAATTGCAAGCGGATTAAGTAGTTGTTGATTTTGTACTGTGATAGTTGTTCATGATCAATTATGTTCAGTTGTCCTCCTTTTTTACATTGTGTTGTCATCCTTCGGTTTTTTTCCTTAACAAGTTTTGTTTAATCAAATGGGATTGAGAACGCTTTTCTTGTGACTCTTGTTAGTTTGATATTATACCTCCAATGATTGGTAAAGGGTTCCTTTAGATTACAAATTAAAGGCGTGCTTAGAAATAAAAGTCAAATTGGTACGAGGAATTCTTTCTTTATTATTTTATCACCTTCTAGCATCTTCATTAAGAGGATTATAAAGTCTGGCAGTCCACACCAACGAGAAATGGTGGGCTTCAATACAGATCAATTATGTAAGCTGGTGGTTGGTCATATTTTTGTTGACGGTGTCTTCTTATTAATTTTGTTATCCTATCAGTTCCGTCAAAAATAATATTTTTATTGTGTGAACAATTTGCTATGCTTATTTATTATACTTTCTTCCATTAGAGCTTGCCTCAGTGCATGACATTTCTTATTGTACCACATTAAAGCGGATCCTACTCTCTAGGATTTCAACTCATTGTATTGTTTATGGATGTATTTTTTACAACCATCGACATAGCCATTTAGTTTTCTAGATGCACTCTTGCTAAGTTTTCTATTTGCACCTATCTTTAAGCCAAGAAATATTAGTATAGTAAATAACTATTGTATATATATCATACCAATGATTGTGACCTGCAACCTTGGTAATAAAAATATGTGCTATTGTGGTCCTTATGATTCTTTAATCATCATGCTCGTGACATGCATGGTAAAACAAAAACAGATATGTAAAAGGATAAAGATTTGGGATTGATTCTAATTTTTTAACATCGTCAATCTTTGTTGTAGCAGAGCTTCCCTATTTCCTTAAAAGGTAATGAACTAGTCAACGTCCTTTCTTTCTTTCTTATATGCTGTTCTCTCTCTATCTTAAATGACTATATATCACAAATATTGTGACAGTGATAGATGAAAAATCCGATTGTTGCACCCTTTCTTTGTCTGTCTATAGTTGTAGTAAGATTTTATTTATGTTTCCTCTATATTGACTTCCCCTCTCTTGTTCTTCCATCTCCTACTCATCTCTTTTTGTGTTTCTTTCTTTGAGATTTAAAAAAATTAATTAACTTTACCACAATTGGCCAATTACTATAGGGTTTGACCTATTACGATCTATATGGCCAAGAAATCATTAAAAAAATAATGTTTTTCATACATGTTTGTCAATGAAATGGCAGCAAGGTTTATTGGGGTAGAATCAACCAAAAATAATTTTAAATTTAATTTAGATATAAAAATTAATATATTTGTCAAATATAAACTTTATCAAGATTTATTTACAAAAAAAAATGATTCAGTTCGACAAAAGAAAATGAGAAAATTTAGGTGAATTACCTGGTATTAGGTTCAGAAGTTCAATAGAAAATGCATGTAATAAATATATTCTTTGGAACAGCACCACCTTTTGTTGTTGTTGTGTGTGTATATGTATGTATGTATGTATTAAACTGTATGGTTTTAACCTGTGCGGACCTCACTTTGTAATAGCCTCGCCTGCATGGACTTGCAATTCTTTCCTTATCGCCTCTTTCCTAAATATGAATTATGCTTTATCAGGTGTGTTTTGGTGCAACATTTTTTATCTGCTGTATTTGCATTTCTATAATTTTCTTTTAGTATCTTTTTACCTTATTTTTGTATATTTTAAGTATTAGAAAACACTTGACACTATTTGAGTCTGTATTTGCTGACTCTTTGACAGTAGGGTGCATATATAGGTTTTGTTGAAATTTCACTTTTAAACTTAATGCAGGATTTTCACTTTTCAAACCACTCATGCTAGTTGATTCTGGTTTTTTGGTGTTGTATTTGTATGATTGTGTCGACATTTCAGTGAAATGTATATTGTAGTAACATCATTTCAGTATCGCTTAGTGTCACTTTTACGATAATAAATTGATAACTCATTTTCACTACTCATCTGGATATGACACTTATGGTGTTCTAACATCGTTAATGGTGTTCTACTGCTGGCCACATATGAGGAGGCAGTATGTTACCTCCTCAGCTAGGTTTAGCTTTATGCAGTAGTTTATGAAGACAGAGCCATATGAATGCACATTATCCATACTTACCCTCCAAGACAGATCCGTATTGACAGCTATATCATTTGGCTAGTGTTGTTGGCCTGAAGGGACTGATTTTCTATTTTTTAAAGTTACATCTTCACTAATTTGTAATCTCTTCAGCTTAACATAGCAAATGTTGATTCTTCAGGATGACAGATTGATGGTGGTGGTAAGATTTGCTACAATGAGGCAGATGTGTTTTTTAGGAAACCACTTCACCTGTTCAAGCCAATTGTGTTTATTTGATCTTTATGTATTCTTTTCTATTTTGTGTCTTTCACAGATACTTTGAACATGACATATGCTAACTCTCGAGTGTTCTTAGTATTGTCATTCTGCATTTAACTGAATCAGCATTTTACTTATGAGAATGCTATGGCTTGCATACATTGATACAACTATACAAGTGATGTTGTAGAGATAACAGTGTCTACTTTTGTTTGATGCATCTGCTGCAGTATGCGAGCATGCATATTCATTGGCACAAAACTTGGATCCTAACAGTGAAGGCAGAGGTGTGCTTCAGTTCAAGACTGGTTTAATGTCGGTCATAAAGGTATGGCTATTCTGATAGCAACTAAGCTGCAACTCTTAAGAATATCTTCCACCCTTCATGTGAATACTGCAGTAGTGCATCCTGACTTCCCCCCTAGCTCTTCTCCTTGTGGCTCTGAAGTTGACCATTGATCAGTTGCCGATGATTAATGTAAAGCAATTAGATATTTACCCTCATTGTCTAACATATTCTGCCTATGTACATTTCCAGCAAAAACTCGCTAAGAGGGATGGTGGAGGCATAGACCGTAGCCAGGACATTGCCTATCTACAGGAATTTTATAAACGCTACAGAGAGAAGCATAAAGTTGATGAGTTGCGTGAGGATGAGATGAAGTTGAGGGAATCAGGTGTTTTCAGTGGCAACCTTGGAGAGTATGTCTTCAAAGTGACACTGTTAACATAATTATTCTTTATATATACATGTTCACTCTGTATCATTTTCTTTTTAAAATTTGCATAATCATTATGAATTTGCGTTCAACTTACTTAGGAGCATGTTAGAGCTTGCAGTTTGTTAATGTTTGCAGAAAAGATCATTCTAAACAGCAATTTCTTTACTGCTGTTGATGTTCTCTTTGAATGCTTCACCATCACCGATAAGAATATTTGCGATTGAGCTTCATTAGTATGTCATCAGGCATGGGGCATGGGTTCTTGATTAAGTAATTTCAACAATTTCTTGTGAGTCATGAAATGCTACTCATAAACTGAGGTTGATTGCTTCAACAAATTTAAAACTATTACGCTTGCAGCCTTGTGGTACCTGAGTTCTAAGAAAATGACTACAACTGGGTTTTGACTTAAAAAAATGAAGCTTCACAAGATAATTTGTTAAATGGCTAAATATTGTTGCCTCCATCTTGAGCTGTAAAATTGTTATGAAGTTTTTTTTTCTCAATTATGCATCTATAGATGCTTTTTATATGGTCCTAACACTTATAACAACTCTATCATATACACATTCACTGTTTATCTATAACTCTATGGATAATATCTTTATCAATCTCCTCTTTCACCTAACCAATGGCTAAAACTTGTGGGAAATTTTTATCTATATTTTTGATCAAAGATATCTTAAAATTTTACTTGTCGGAACTTCTTTCCATCTACTATTGTTTAAATTTTCTCCTGGTAATGCTAAATTTGGACTTTTATATATTTGTTCTTAGAACTAACTCTAAAACCCTTAATTTATAAAGTTTCTCTCTATTTTCCCAAGTTTACAATTAACCACAATCTGACTTTTGTTGACCATAATAAAATTGGAAGTGAATGTTTGATAAAAGTTTATCCTGATGAGGCCTGGTATCCTTATATGTTATTGATGCAGAAAAATTTGGACTCAAAAGTTGATTTTTGATAACCTAACGCTAATGATAGCCTTACCCGCATCTTTGTCACCTTGAATAAAGATTGATCTTTGTTCTTTTCTAAAGGCCACCATTTAAATCCGTATTAAATCTGTTATACACTTTTCTTTAGTTAATGAAAAACATGTGAAGATCTTTCTTCTTCTTTGAATATATATTTTTTAAAACCAACTGTTTCAATAGTGAATTGCTTCTGTAGTTGTTCTTCCATTCATAAACCGACTTAATCTTTAGCAACTTCTCTAGTTGTTCTTCCATGCATAAACCTAAATTAATCATTAGAACTTCTCTAGCTTTCATTTGCTTATTTCTTATATAATTTAGGAAGCAATGAATGTCTCTCTTGTTCTTGTAAGTTCAAATGAAAATGCTTGTTCAATCATTTGATAATTTTTAGTTCTCAAACTTTTTTTAAATAATAAAGCTATCTAAACTACCCTGTGGTCATGTAAGCTCTTCCAAACTTGAGTAGTGTGATATGTCAAGTCATATATTGTTATCTAAATTCCTTTCTTTTAACTCTTTTTTTACCTAATAATTACTTTTGCACTTTTATGATAAATTTATTGGAAAATTAGGAGAATTTTATTGAATGGATCTTCAGTTTGGTGTCTGTGGTTTGACTTTGACCCAGTAGGATTGTATAATTAATCTCATCTCTTGGTCCTTTGGAAATTTGCAAAGCTCTTATTTGGGGGAGGGGAGGGCTCCTATTCATTTGAAGTATCCCCATGTGTAATTTATTGTTTCTCTTTTTGTTTGGAGGAGGAAAGGGCTGGAATTTTCAATCTTAAATTACTATGCTGTACATGGGACTCTGATTTTCTATTGTTCTTTTTGTTTTGCCTTTGGTATGTATTGCTTGAAAATGATGTTGGAATATGGAAATCAGTTATCTCCTTTTTTTTTTCTATATTTTACATTAATAAAACTTGTTGCACTAAAATCAGGTTGGAGAAGAAGACTGTAAAAAGAAAGAAGGTGTTTGCAACGCTGAGAGTCTTGGGAACAGTACTCGAGGATCTTACTAGAGAAATAGCTCCTGATGATGCAGCTAAAATAATATCTGAAGAGGTTTATATCATTTTCCTGTGGAATATTTGTCTCTTAATACTTATAAGTTATAAATGCTTGTGTTTCCTGTATTGTTCATTATGCAACAAATTACAAATATAAATTTTTTTGATCCTTACCACATCATTATTGCCCTTTATGCTATCCCTAGATGAAGCGGGTTATGGAAAAAGATGCTGCAATGACAGAGGACATAATTGCTTATAACATCATTCCCCTGGATGCACCATCTATTGCAAATGTCATCGTCAATTTCCCTGAGGCAAGCTGTTAAAGCTCTTGTAGCAAATGTTTATTGAAATTCCTTTGGCTATCTATATAACAATTTTTTACATTTAGGTGAAAGCTGCAATTTCATCATTAAAGTGCTGCACAAACCTGTCTAAGCTTCCTAGTGATTTTCCTGTTCCTGCTGCAAGGGATGCTGATGTACTTGACCTGTTGCAATATGTCTTTGGGTTCCAGGTTGGTTTTTCATTTGTCAAGTTGTACTGTGCCACATATATTAAAATCGAATAAGGTGATGAAAACAGTTTGTTAACTTTTTTCCATTGGCGTCTTGATGATACTTTGAAACGAGTGAATCTTACTTGTAGCTTTTAGCCGATTACATAATTGTCATGGCTTAGAGGGAATGATGCCATATAAATGTTTGGTTTGGTTATAGATGATATGCTGCTTTCTCATCATTAATTATAATATCTTGTAAGTTGATGCTTTGTCTAGTATGTTGGAAACTACTTGCGGCAACTTGCTTCCAGCTTTTTGCAGTTGCAAAGTATTTTCTGCTTCTAGTTGATAACTTAATTGTCATGGCTTGAAAGGATTGATGCCATATAAATGTTTGGTTTGATTATGTTGATGATATGCCGCTTTCTCATCTTATTTATATTGTCTTGTAAGTCAGCGTTGTCTAGTATGTTGGAAACTACTTTATGTCACGACCTTAGCTGGAATTGCCGAAGGCGTGAGGCACCCTTGCGGCCAAAGACGCGAACTTAGCTTGCGTTGCCTAAGTCGCGAGTTACCCTTGTGGCAAAGACGCGAACTTAGCTTGCGTTGCCTAAGTCGCGCTTCGCCCTTGCGATCTTGCTCCGCAAGGATCAACCCACTTTGTAACCTCTCGCAGGTCCCGAAGGACCTGTAAAAGAGAAAGTTGGTTAGTTCGAAAGAACGAGCAACGGACAAGTCCCGAAGTCTCGCGAAAAGGAAAGCTTTACAAGCAATTCGACGAACACCTTGTGTGCACAAGAGAA